GGACAGTGGGTGCGGTGGAAAAGAAAAGGTTAGAAGCGTTCGAAATGTGGTGTTACAGGCGAATGATGAAGATACCGTGGATAGAGAAGGTTAGAAATGAAGAGGTATTAGAAAGAGTATGAGAACAGAGGACTCTATGAGAGTCAATAAGAAATAGGCGAGATAGGTTGGTAGGACACCTTCTCATGCATGAAGGTCTAGTCAGAGACATATTAGAGGCAGAAACAGGAGTTAGGACGGGTAGAGGTAGACCAAAATTAGATTACTGTTCGCAAATAGTTCACATCCTTAACTTGTTGTTCAAGTTGTAGGGAAATTCGAAGATTAGCTCAGGATAAGAAAGAGTGGAGGTGCGTGTCCAACCAGTCTTAGGACTGACGACCTTATGGTGATGAAAATACATTGTTTTTCATGTATTACGACCTTGGTTATAGCGACAATTTTTCTATAGCGACGTTAAATGTATGTCCCTTGAATACTTTAGTACTAAGTTTATGTGGCTATAGAGACTTTGGATGTAACGCCGAATTCGGTAGTAGCGACTGTTTTTAATTAATCATTTGTAACAAATCCCTGGTAATCGAAGCAATCCGCCAGAAACGTCCGGATTTGCGGAAGAACAAAAGTTGGCTTTTGCACCATGATAATGTCCCTGTTCACACATCGTTGCTTGTACGTGAATTTTTGGTCAAAAACAACGCACTAATAATGCCGCAGTCACCGTATTCTCCAGATCTGGCTTCCTGTGACTTTCTTGTTCTCGAAACTGAAGAGGCTCATAAAAGAACGAGACTATGATTGAGGAGATAAAGATGGCTTCGAAGGAGGAGCTGAACAAGATCACAAAAAATGATTTTCTAAAGTGCTTCGAGGATTGAAAAAAACATTAGCACAAGTTTATTATATAAAACATACAAAATTCGCGATACTTTTTGAACAGGCCTCGTAGACATTTAATAAATCTGAAAACGACAAAAAAACAGTCGTTAAATTGATGTTTTTCGCTTTCATTTTTGATAACTTCTGAAGTAATAGTAGGAATAAAACCCTAAGTTTAATGATAGAGTGCTGGTGGTAGTGGTAGAGTACTGGCACGTAAAACCTTGGGCCCGGGTTCATTTCCCAACGGAGGGACTGATAACAGCAACAAGTTTTCCTTGTTAATTTGAGGTTATCTATGGTGGTTTTAGTTAATTCAAAAAATTAACTCACTGATGGTAGGACCTCCATTGTTTTCGATGCAGAAAGGCATGACAATAATTACCTACAAAATTCTGTACTATTCTACTAGTAACTGTCTCCTTTCAACTGCTGACTATCTCTACCATTAACTAAGGTATCTATCTTTTTAAGACCAGGTCTTATGGGATGTGCGGTGAAGATAATTGAATTGGTCCAGCAAAAAAGTATTATTTTCTTACCGTACATGTATCCTTTCCGGGTTCTCCTCCCGCGCAAATGAAAGATGAGTGCAGGGCGAATGCAAGTCCAAGACGTGTCTTGCGAAGAGAATCCTGACATATGTTATGTGGAACAATTGGCAGCTGTATCTTCTTCAAAATGACTTGCGGCTGTCCTTTTCTGCCTTTAATTAATACTTCATTTAGTGTATTGATTCTTAATTGATGTTTTAATTTAATTAATTATAAAGAGAATTGTCCCCGCCGGGCATACAACAAAGGGATTTCAGTAAAACCTTGTAAATAAAAATTTGTTTAGTTGTAAAAAAGGAAAAAAAAAAGATAAAGATAGGAGTTAACCCAACATTATTCAAATTTTCCATCAGGCGAAGCTGCTAGTCATGAACCAGGTTACATCACGAAACTTGTACAATTCTTTTTGTAAAAATACTTATTATAATCGAATTGAATTGAATAATCGATTTTTAAACTTTTCATTCTAATATGTATTTCTAAATTTTCCCAAAAAACTAAAATCTCTCTGTTGTGTACCACGGGGTATATTCCTAACCTAAATGTGTTGAAGTAAGTTATAAACTATCATTTTATATGTACCTTACCATGTGCCACCAGAGTTTTTAAGCGCTATGAAACTTATTATTATGTTTCTAATTAAAAGTTCTTGCAATGAATGAAATGAATTAAATTCTATCGACACATTTCTAACGGCGTATCTAACTTTAAAATGACTTCTGATGCATTTTTCTTTAGTCTGCACTCTCTGTTTCCTTCTGTGGGATACCAGGGTATAGACAAGGGTGAAGGGGGTTCTAGGGGTCTTTTATATAAGTAGGCACCTATGTTATTTAAATATATAGATCTCATCTTTCCAACTTATGTCTAGATGTATAAAATAATTATCTGCCCTTTTGATAACCCTCTACAAAAGATTCTACAATATAAACCCTTTAAGCTATAAAGTTGGGAATTGTTTTATCCTTAACACGTCCGGGTAACTGTTCCACCTACTTACCGAAAACGTCCTTTCCCCATCCAGTTGCGAAACAGTCTCTCGATGTGAATTGTAAATTTTGTGAAGGAAGGCATATCGTCCCGATGTGATCGTATTTATCGACGGGAGATGCTAATACGAGAAGTGCTACGTCATTAAATAAATTGTTCGCTCTGAAACCTTCATGCACCACAATTTGCACCACGTCCCTCTCTTGATAAGGCAGTCGCTCTCTCGTCGTTTGGGTATCCCATTCGCCAACCCGCACCTTCAGATCGGATGGTTGATTTTGAAATCTTAAAAAAAAATGTTAACATCAAATCCCGTAGTGACAGAAGAGTTCGGTGTAGCATTAAAAACCTAAAAGAATAATAAGGCACCAGGTATAGAGGGAATACAGGCGGAAATTTTAAAACATATACATAAGACAAGAGGTTAGAGATTGTATGTTTACGCTAGTTAGTCACATTTACGAGACGGGGAAAGTCCCGGAAGATTATAAACGAAACGTGGTAGTTACCATACCTAAAAAGAGAGGCTCGAATAGTTGCGAGTCATTTAGAACAATTAGTTTAACTTCCCCTGCGTCAAAAATCTTAACTAGATTTGTACAGAGGAGGATGGAAAAAAGAGCAGACAAACTATTAGGGGAAGATCAATTTGAGTTTAGAAGAAATAGAGGAACGCGGGAGGCCAATTTAGCTTTACGGGTAACAATAGAGAAAACGATAGAAAAGGGAATGAGCGCGTGCATAGGATTTGTAGATTTAGAAAAAGCTTTTGATAATGTTGAATGGGACAAGATGTTAAATATACTCAAAAATACAGGGATGAGTTACGAAGACAGAAGAGTGATTCTTAGTTTGTATAAAGAGCAACTAGCAGTTATAGAGCTAGGTATGCAACGTAGAGAAGTAAATATTAGGAAGGCAGTCAGACAAGACATCAGTAAGACAATACAACTGTAGGAATAGATATAAAGGGGCAAAAGATTAGTGTGCTTCTAGCAAGGAGGAGTTAGAGACAGATTTAAATAAAATTTGAAAAAGATTGTTAAAGGTGTATTTGGAATCCGGCGCTGTACGGGTGCGAAACATGGACGGTGGGCACGGCGGAAAAAAAAGGTTAGAAGCGTTCGAAATGTGGTGTTACAGGCGAATGATGAGGATACCGTGGATACAGAAGGCTAGAAATGGAGAGGTATTAGAAAGAATAGGAGAACAGAGGACTGTATGGAAGTCAATAAAAAAACACACCTTCTCAGGCATGAAGAGACATATTAGAAACAGAAATAGGAGTTAAGAGGATGAGAGGTAGACCTAGATGAAATTACTATTCGCAAATAGTTAAGAATGTGGGTTGTTCTAGTTTTCGGGAAATGCGAAGATTAGCTCAGNATTTGTTTTCCGACAATCATATTTGGGTTCTCTGGACCCTAAATGCAACAATTTTAAATATTAACAATGCAATTAATGTGAAAATGTACTTCATCAATGATAATGATTTTTTTCAAACAATCGGCATCCATTTATTGATGTTCTTGGACTTTCAGGACGGAAGGAGTAGTAAAGATATAAAACAGAGGATAGCGCAGGATCGTCGCCTTCAATAAAAAGGAGTTACTTCTATGCTCGCGAACGATTAATTTAGAAATTCGAAAAATGTTGTTAAAGGTGTATGTTTGGAGCACGGCGTTGTACGGGTGCGAAACATGGACAGTGGGAGCGGCGGAAAAGAAAAGGTTAGAAGCGTTCGAAATGTGGTGTTACAGGCGAATGATGAGGATACCGCGGATACAGAAGGTTAGAAATGGAGAGGTATTAGAAATAATAGGAGAACAGAGGACTGTATGGAAGTCAATAAAAAAATAGGCGAAATAGAACACCTTCTCAGGCATGAAGAGACATATTAGAAACAGAAATAGGAGTTAAGAGGAGTAGAGGTAGACCTAGATTAGATTACTGTTCACAAATAGTTAAGAATGTAGGATGTTGTAGTTTTAGGGAAATGCGAATATTAGCTCAGGATAGGAATGAGTAGGGGTGCGTGTCCAACCAGTCTTAGGACTGACGACCTTATGATGATGGAACATCAAATCGTGTAAACGTATAAGGCAAAACGGAAATAGAAATTAGGTGTTTCTTTGTCTGTATCCTACATTTACTCCTTATTAGAGAAGTATTTTACCATGCTATTGTTCCTGAGATCAGCAAAAACAGTACATTGTCAGGAATATAGCAAAAAATTGTATAAGAGCCTCGAGAAGAAAGTACGGAATCCTCTGGGAGTTTGCCATCATTGCCTTTGGCTCGGGCGAGGGCGATATGGAACTAACCAGTAAAAATCAGGGTTGCTAGATGAATTTCTTTTTATTCCCTAGTTTTTTTGCTTTATATTTCCCCGGAGATTCTTATGGCGATAAAAGGAGGGACTTTTGTTTTCTATTATTTTCCA